ATACTGTACATTAAAAAATTTTACACGCACACACCACAATGATATATATTATATATATATATATTATTAATATATTATATATATATAGTATATATATATTATATATATATATATTATATTATATATATATATATATTATATAATATAATATATATTATTATATATATATATTATATATATATATAATATATATAAGATATATATGATATTATATATATATTAGCTCAATCAAAGCGTAAAAGAAGCTTTACAATATGAGAAGAAATAGTGGCTAACGTATGGAATGCGAATTTCCACCGCTCGCTTTTTTAACGTTCCGAAGGGCGATGGGGGAAATTTCCAGGCGCGTTCTTCGCGAGAGCGGCGATCGCGGGCGCGTGGGCGACGCTGGGGAAGACCGGCTCGCGCGCGCAGGGCGGGCGGGGCGGCGGCGGCGCGCGCGTGAGCGTGACTCATTCTGGAAAACGCGCGGCACCTCCGCCGTAGAGAGCTTCCTGGAAACTGACCCGCGACCGGGGGCTCGCGGCGATGTGAGGCGTTGGCGCCGGGGCGTTTGTCGGTAAACAGTTGTGACCCCTCCCTTCCCTTCCCTCCCTCCCTCCCCCCGCCCAGCGCTCGCACCTCCCATTCCGCCACACCTCCCCGCCACCCGCAACTCGGGGAGAGGTGCTCAGAGCATCAACTGATGTCACTGCATGCCTCTGACCGCAATGTCCTAGCTTCGAGTCCTGGGATGCGATGGGAGGATTATTGGCACTAGTTTCGGAGAGTGCACGCTCAGAAACGACTCGAACTGATGACTCTGCAGTGCCTCTGGACCACAAGGTCTTAGGGATCGGGTCCCATAACAATAGCTCACATAGCTTTATACTTGGTCGAGTTCAGTCGGAGTCAAGGAGGAGAGTCATGCGGCCGGCTTCTCCTGATCGGTAGTTTTCGCTTGGTTTCTCCGATCAACATTCAGGCAATGCCGGAGGCAAGTACCGTAACAAACGGCGCCACGGCCCGCGCTTGGCTCTTCCTTTCTATTCGTGTTTTAACCTCACCCCTTAAAGGACACACTTTACGTGGCGGTACACTACCTCATGCCGGAACAGCAGTCGGGATCTTGTTGTGGATGGGGCGTGCTCTACTGGGGGGGAGATACATGGTTGGGAAAATCCGCTAGTTGACGGTAGTCGGCTCGCGTCCGATCTCGTCTCTAGTTGAGGGAAGGATCACGCCACCTTCGAGCGAAAATGCCCAACACTTACGGCACTAATGATTCTTAGCTGATTGACGCGCCACGGAATGATTAGTGAAGAATCATCATTAGACTGCTTGTATATGCTACACCTAACAATGTTATGTCAACAATAATTATTTTCGTGTAGCTCAAACCGCGGATGACGAACATTTACTTTCAGTAGTTAATCCAAGCCCTCAATATCAGAACTATAAAAAGCGGCCGGCGTTTAAGTGCCAGCACAATGCGTCCGAGCATTAGAAGCGATAGGACTTGACATTCATCGCCTCATTGTCACTGTCGTCACAGTTTGTTGTGGTGGCTTTCCAGGCGATGGCGCTGAGGTAGTGTGCTTACCGCGTCATCACTAGGACCACAGCCGCTAAAAATCGCCAAAAAAACAAATTTTCTGGAAAATTCTTAGAATTTTCTTGGCGGATCCATAAAACTAATCATCAGTTCAAGAAAGACAGTGGACACGTTCTAAAAAATTACCTCGTTTATTTCGATTAATGGACGAGAACGATCTAACTTCAGTGTCGGGATGGACGCACGCGGCCCTCGCAAGCGTACTCGAACATGTATACTCGCGCAACTTTTCTTGAACGATGAACTTGCTTTTCCCCTCTCTGGCACCAAATAAACAAGTTGAAGGCAAAAAGGCTCGCAGCGCAGCATTGATGACAACATTTTCCAAAAGCTTCGCTGGCGCGAAATAGAAACAATTTTCTCGCTGAAAGTATGAAACTCAATGGCCATTATTTTCTTCAAATATCTAAAGAATTGACCGAAGTAGAAAATCACAGATATTGAGAAAATTAGAAAGCAAATTATTGAGAAATTTGCCAGCGACGATGACTTGATTCTCCAGAGATTAGCCCACTGCTTCATAAAACTACTGTGGCCGATTGCGTAACTAATACCCCCCCACTCTACCGCATTTCTTCATCCATCGTTCAGAAAAAATTGCCTCGAGTAATAACAATGTTTAAGCACACCCTCTTTACTGATACGACCGGATCTCGCCGAATACATATACTGCTTCTCCACTCACGTCTCTCTTTAATCAGTAAACCATGTCCGAATCAATCATCTAACCGATCCACACCAATTTATGATTACTTGTATGATGCGAATTAAGTAGAGGGTACCATTGAAGAAAAAATGATAGA